TGTTTGCACAATCACAAAGTCACCTAATGATGCATTTCTCAGAACGTATCCTCATCCTTAAGTGATACTAGATAGTATTTGAGATTTTTGACACTATTTTTGATGAAATTAAAAAGAATCATTTTCTTCTTTTTAAAAATTTATTTATTATTATAAAGATATAGGGTGCAATTCAGGGTTAGATACACAGACATTGATCATGCAGGTACTCTGGTTGATGAGGCATGCCCCTCCCTCCCCTAGCAGCTTCCCCCAACTGCCAGTCCTACCCCCTTTCCCCTGACAGTTTTCTGCTACTGCCAATCGCCTTCCCACAGCCTTATAATCGTTCAAGGTCACCTTATGAGTGAGAACATATAGAACTCAGTTCTTTGTTTCTGTGATAAACCACTGAGTATGATCGACTCCAAATGCATCCAAGTTGCTGCAAAGTCCATATATCTGTCCTTCTTTATGGTTGCATAATATTCCATTGTGTATATGTACCACATTTTTTTTTATCCAGTCCAGCTTCAATGGGCAACACGATTGGTTCCATGTTTTGGCTATTGTGAATAGAGCTGTAACAAACATATGTGTGCAGGTATCTCTTTTGTAGAATGATTTGAGTTCCTCCAGGTATATTTCCAATAGGGGAATTGCTGGGTCATATGGAAGGTCAATTTCTAGTTCCTTCAGAAACCACCACACTGTCTTCCAAAGAGATTGTATTAGTCTGCATTCCCACCAGCAGTGTAGAAGTGTTCCTTTTTCTCCACATCCTTGCCGGCATCTGTTGTTGTTTGTTTTATTAATGATGGCCACTCTTACAGGGACTAGGTGGTATCTAAAAAAATCATTTTCTAATTGTTAATTTCTAGTATACAGCAATAACTTAGTTTTGTACATTGACATATTTAGCAACCTATCTAAGCTTACTTATTCATTGTATGTTCATCTGTAGATTCTTTTGATGTGTGCATGTACAATCACTCAGAGTTAGGAACGCCAATAAGGAAGGTATAAAGGCACAGGGCCTAAAGACTAACTGCCTATTGAAGGATTTAGTACATCTCAGAAAGTTTGTCTTTTCTCACTGCTAAAGAAATTCCCAATCCCTGGTGCGTAGGGTAGGCAAGAGTCCTGGGTGACCATCATAGTGATGGGATTAATAACCACAAAGGTTATCAGCAAATGCTCAAGACTGACTTTTTTTATGGCACACAGGTCTATTTTGGTTTGAATCATTACAGAAAAAAATATTATCTCAGCAGAAGATTTGAAATTAAGCAACTTCTATTGTTTATGCTTATTTTAAGTAAGTGGAATTTGACAAAAAGCTTTATTGCAGAAGCTCAATAAGTATTAGTTAATAAGTTACATGATCATTACTACAGGAAAGTCTAGAGTTTTAAATGAAAAATTGTCATTTTTACAATGAGACACAAGAATTCTGAAACGTTAAACCACAATCTTCCACTCTATAATCATTAATCAAGTGCCTAATTAATAAATAACCTTTTAAATGGTTTGGCCTTCACTGGTTAGATTCACTTATGCAAATGACAACTATTAATGTCAAATTAGAGCTAGTGAATAAGTAGGTATGGATAATTTGATAGATTATAACAGCTCTTTTATAATATTTTAAATCACTCTTATTGCAGTGAGCAGACTATAATTGTCAGAGTATTTGCATATTACTTTAGTTAACACATGGACAGTTTTGAAATTGAGTGTTTTGTTCTCATACTTCCACTGGAGTTAACGGATGAAATTTTGTGCATTTGCCTTGCTTCTTATCATTGTATTGATTTTATCACTTGGTCACATGTTGTAGAACATAAGCAAAATTATTTTTTAAGACTAGTATTGAGAAGAAAATGTACCCAATGATGCCTACCCACTTGGAACCTGCTTTTTAGAAGCAGTAAATGAGGTTGATGTAAACTGTTGACTAGAACATATAAGCCTACTCAGCTGGTATTCAAAGGCAGTACATGCGAAGGTGATACTAAAAGCAATGAACTTAATAACCACATACCAGAAATGACATTAGCTCTGACAGCATTACAGATGAATGCAGGCTGGCATGTGACTCTGTGTCTTCGCTTTTTTAGGTAAAAAATGGAGACCTGGGCAAACCCCTCCCACTGTGGGAGCTTTTCTGTCCTCTCAATAAATAAAAAGGAGATCCGCTAAAATCCATAAGGTGAGCATATGGCAACCATGGACTCTGGAATTAGCAGACCTTGTATTCACCCCGTTACATTGCTGTATTGATGGAATGAAGGTGGCAGGTCCATTTCATTTTCAGACAAGGACAAGATGGGATGTATACTCGGTGTCAGATCTTAAGAGTTATCTCAACAGGTAAAACACTTTCACAACTGCTTCAACTCTCAGAAAAAAAGGTAAGACCAACATTTTCTTGAGTTATCTAAGTTCTTATTTAAGACAAATATAATTTAAGCTTGCATAAAATGATGGGTGTTACTGAGGACATCGGATCTTCCCTGTTTTAAAATTTTGTATCTTCTTTATGTCTTATTGCTTATAATAACTTTAGAATAACTATAATTATTTTTCTTGAGACTTGATATATTACAGCTATTTTCTTTTTTTTTTTTTTGAGTTGGAGTCTCACTCTGTCGCCCAGACTGGAGTGCAGTGGCCGCTCCCGGCCACCGCAGCCTCGACCTGCTGGGCTCCGGTGATCCTTCAGCCTCAGCCTTCCGCGTAGCCAGAACTACAGGTGCACGCTACCACGCCCAGCTAGTTTTTGATTTGTTGTAGAGATGAGGTCTCACCAAGTTGCCCGGGTGGGTCTTGAACCCGTGGGCTCAGGCAATCCACCCACTTCAGCCTCCCAAGGCACGGGATTACAGGCTGAGCCACCGATCCCGGCTTTTTTTTTTTTTTTTCCTTTTTCTAATACATATTTTTTATTTTAAAATTGTGGGGTACAGTTAAGGGTTAGGTATACAAATATGCACTATGTAGGTACCCTTGATGATGAGGTGTGCCCCTGGTCCCCAGACAGATATCAATGACCGTTAATCCCACCTCCCATCGCCTCCCTGCCCCCCCATAGTTTCCCACCACGGTCAATTCTTTTCTTACAGTATTACCATATTTGTTCAAGGTCCATTTATGAGTGAGAACATGTGATACTCAGATCTTTGTTTCTGTGAGAGATCACTCAGTATTATAGACTCTAGTTCCATCCAGGTTGCTGCAAAATTCATGATTTTGTTCTTTTTTATGGCTGCGTATTATTCCATCATGTATATGTACCACATTTGTTTTTTATCCAGTCCTCTTCTGACGGACAGCATGGTTGGTTCTATGATCTTGCTATTGTGAACAATGCTGTGATAAACATACGTGTGCAGGTATCTTTTCTATAGAGTGATTTGAGTTCTTCAGGGTGTATTCCCTGTAGGAGGATTGCAGGGTCATATGGAAGGTCGATTTTTAGAGCTTTTAGCAATCGCCACACTGATTTCCACAGAGGCTGCCAGAAGCAAAACCTCAATTTCTCAACCATCTCATCTTCGACAAAGCCTCCACCATCCACCACTGGGGAGAGGACAATCTATTCAGTAATTGGTGCTGGGAAAATTGGCTGACCATATGCAGAAGATTCAAACAAGACCCCTATCTATTCCCATACACAAAAATTAACTCTAAATGGATCAGAGACCTAAGTGTAAAACCTCAAACCATAGGAACTTTAGAAAATGCAGGACACACCCTTATGGAAATTGGAACTGGCATCCAATTCCTGAACAAAACCTGAAACGCACAGGCCATAAGAGATAATATAGACAAGTGGGACCTCATTAAACTGACAAGCTTCTGCAAAGCCAAAGAAACCATCAAGAGAGCAGGGAGACAGCCCACAGACTGGGAAAGAGTATTTGCCAACGCCAGGTCTGACAAAGGCCTAACATCTCATCTAGGATCTACAAAGAACTCAAACATGCTGAAAATAAAACAAACAAACAATCCCATTACAAAGTGGGCAAAAGACATGAAGAGACACTTCTCAGAAGAAGACATACGAGCAGCCAACAGATACATGAAGAACTATTACAGCTATTTTCAAAAGCATTCAATCTTTGTTGTCAGATAATTTCCTTAAAATTGGATAATATACAAAGTATGGACTCAAGATATTTATTGAAAAATTCAATTTTTTTTCAAATTATGGTTGCTGGATGTATGATGAGATGTTAGATTGCTTCCTTGGTATTTATTGAGTCTTCAGATGTTTTGTGTTTTATATACCATTTATTAAGTAACTCAAGTGTCTTAACTATATTGATAGGTTTCAAAACTTTGCTTCTTTTGTTTACCTGCTTAGCATATCATCTTCTGAGAGGGATGTGTTATAATCTCCAGCTGCAATTGTCAACTTCATGATTTCTCCCAGCAGTTTAGTTGCTGCTTGTGTACATACTTTAAGCGTGCAGGGTTAGTTACACATGTGTTTGTGGTATGCATGGCAGGGAATCTGTTCTAGGGTTTGCTTTATTATTGTATATATATTTAATCTTTCTCTTTTTTTCCCCACATGACCCCTTTGTTTAAGATCAGTTTTGTCAGATACTAAGATTTCTACCTTTGCTTTCTTTTGGTTCACATTAGTTTATCTTTTTCCATGCATTGATTCTCAGTCATTCTTTTCTTAATATCTATCTCTTCCTTTTCCTTAATTAGAAATAACTTTAACATTTCTTCATGTCCTATGGTCCCTATGTCCACCCCTAGCCATATCATATTGTCTTAATTTGAATTTTAGGTTAGTTTGAGTATATTTTATTTCATTTTGTCCAGGCTTTTAAAAAAAAAAAAATTCCTCCCGGCGCACGGCCCCGCCCCGGCCCCGCCCAATTTGTGGGGCGTGGGCTCGGAATTGCAGGTCCCGCAGTGGGGCAAAGGCAAAGATATCCCCCCCGCGTGGGGCATTGTCTGCAACGCGGCGGAGGCGCCCAAGTCCCGCGATCCGCTCAAAACTGACTAAGATATCCAGAAGCCAAAGCCATGGATCCACCTGCACGTAAAGAAAAACCCAAAGTCAAAGAGCCAGTCAGCAGAGTGGAGAAGGCTAAACAGAAGTCAGCCCAACAGGAGCTGAAGCAAAGACAAAGAGCAGAGATCTATGCCCTCAACAGAGTCATGACAGAACTGGAGCAGCAGCAGTTTGATGAGTTCTGTAAACAGATGCAGCCTCCTGGAGAGTGAGCCCTGTATCCATACTTGATGGGACCCTAGAGGCTTTGTTTGTGAGTGTGTTGCCAGCTGTAAGCTGAGATGGCCCATTTGGAGTCTAACACAACTAGACAAGAAGCCATTTGTGAAGAATTCTGAACTTATTGCCTATATGTAACTTCCACTTCACTGGTTCCTCCAGTCTGAGTTGACCGTGTGCTTGCTGGAGACTTTTCTTCTAAGACAGTAAATTCTTTTTTAAAAAAAAAAACAAAACCTTTTTCTAATGTTTGGGGGGAAAATCAATGTTTCTTGTAAATCTGTATATCGTCTCCAAAAATACAAATAAAGTACTAACCAAAAAAAAAAAAAAAAAAAAAAAATTAAAAATGACTTCTACATTTTATATCACTTACTATCTTTACTTTCCATATCTCTTACAGCATACCTTGAATATTTTCTTTAATTATTTGAGCATATTCTTCAATGTATGTCTTAGTGTTGCAAGCCTTTTTAAAACTTGGCATGCCTGACAATATTTCTTGTTACAATCTTACAAGTAATGGACTATTTAGTTGGATAGAAAATTCTAGACTAAAATGATTTTTCTTCAAAACTGTAAAATGTTTTCCATTATCTGTCTGCATTCTATATGTTGGCTTGCTCATTTGTAAGTGATCTTTTCTCTCTATTTCAAGTTTTTTTTGGAGTTTGTTATTGTATGATATATTTACATTTTCCTGTAGTTTCTGTAAGTGTACTTTTTTTCCTGCCAGTTATTTGGTCCTCTGTGAGGTCTTTTACTTGAGATCGTCTTTCTTTCATTCTGATGCATTTATTTCTTTTGTTTCCCATACATTTCCTCACTTTCATTCCATTTTTCTCTCCTTTGAGACTCATGATCCGAATGCTGGCACACTCCTTAGTCCTTATTCTCTTAGATTTTCTGTTATACCTCCTCTTTGTCTTTTATTGATACTCTCTGGGTAGTTCCTAAACTTTGCTTTTATTTTACTAATTTATTCATCAGCTATGTCTAGCCTATTATTTATCCAAGCCATTTTGTTCTTCATTTCAGCCATTTTATTTTTCACACTTAATATTTTTACTTAGTTTGGGTTCTGTGGTAATCTGCTCCCATTTTATATTGCTACTATCTTCCCTATCTCTGTCAGGATATTCATCTTACTTAGCTGGACTTTTGGTTCATCTGTTCCCATAATTATGTTTCTCGTGTACATAATGTCTTCTCAAGGTTTAGTTCTTGAACCTCTGTTCTTTTTTTTTTCTTCCTTTTTTAAATTATAAAGATGGGGAGTACAATTCAGGGTTAGGTATACAAACATTGATCATGCAGGTAGCCTTGCTGATGAGGCATGCCCCTCCCTCCCCTAGCAGTTTCCCTCAACTGCCAGTCCCACCCCCCCTCCCCTGACAGTTTTCTACTACTGCCAGTCACTTTCTTATAGTATTATAATTGTTCAAGTTCTGCTTATGAGTGAGAACATATGGTACTCTCTTCTTTGTTTCTGTGACAGATCACTGAATATGATCGACTTCAAATCCATCCAAGTTGCTGCAAAGTTCATATATTTGTCCTTCTTTATGGCTGCATGATATTCCATTGTGTGCATGTACCACTTTTTATTTTATCCAGTCCAGCTTCATGGGTAACATGGTTGGTTCCATGTTCTTGCTATTGTGAATAGAACTGCAACAAACATACGTGTGCAGGTATCTTTTTTGTAGAATGATTTGAGTTCCTCCGGGTCTATTCCCAATAGGGGAATTGCTGGGTCATATGGAAGGTCAATTTTTAGTTGTTTCAGAAATCACCAGAACCTCTGCTCTTTCTATCTACCCTCTTTCTCTAGTGAATTCATGCTGATTTAAATATCATTTATGATAATAATTCCCAAATTTTTATCTCTAGTTGGAACCTCTCTGTGTTCCAGACTCATATTTCCAACTGCGTATTTGACACCTCTACTTGGCTGTGTGAGAGGCATCTTCAGCTCACATGTCCCAGACGGACACTCATGCCCCCTCCACGCACACTGGCTCCTCCTGTCCCCCTCTATATTTCTTTCTTTTTTTTTTGAGTTGGAGTCTCACTCTGTCGCCCAGACTGGAGTGCAGCGGCTGCTCCCGGCCACTGCAGCCTTCCATGCCGGGCTCTGGTGATTCTTCCGCCTCAGCCTTCTGAGTAGCCGGGATTACAAGCATGCGCTACCACGCCCGGCTGATTTTTTGATTTATTGTAGAGATGAGGTCTCGCTGCCCAGGCGGGTCTCGAACCCGCGGGCCCCTCTATATTTCAATGAAGATGTTTCATTCTTCCAGTTGTTTTGACCAAACATCTTTTTATCTTCTCTATTCTTGATTCCTTTCTTTCTCACATATCCTCCATTCGGTTTATTAGAAATCTGTTGGCTGTCCAGTCACAGTATATTCAGAATATGATCATGTTATTCTACCTCTACTACTATATCTCTGGCCCAAGTCATTATCTTTTGCCTGGATTATTGCAATAGCTAGTCTTCTTATGTGGACTCTTGTCCCTTTTTACTCAACAGAGAAGATGTGGTTAGAAGGTAAGCCAGATCAAGTCAGTCTTCTGCACAGAACAGTCTGAAAACTCCCCCTTCCCCTCTTAGTGACTGTCAAAGCCCCGTTGTCATCTCCCTTTTGTCACGGGCAGAGCTGGCCGTGCAGCTCCTATGTCCTGCTCTATGTGAAGATTCGCCTCCTCCCGTGGGATCCGTCAGCACTGGGTTGAAGGCCTGGACGTGGGGGGAAAAGCACACGGACAGCCGTTCATCCCTGTGCGGGTTCTGGGCCACTTTCTCAAGTCCGAGTGCTGGTCTTCACTCACTGCATGCCCATATTCCCGTCCCAACCACCTGCTCCGAAAACTTCAGTCTCCAGCGCCAGATCAGAAATGGTAGCCCTACAGGAACTGCTTGATCAGCTCCCCTCAGTGCAGAAGGTCAGGTCCTGTAATCCCTTACTGCTTAGGACTCCTAGTGGTTCTGACTGAACTCTGACGGGAAGAATATTATTTCATCTGTAAAGATCAGTATGTATCTCTAAAAAGGTGTTAACTCATTTTAAATAACAAAACTTCAATGTTATTTTCTAAAACACACAAAATTAAAGATGACTTCCCTCAATTCTTTCTACCCTCCCACACACATTAGGAGAATCTAAAGTCTTCCATATTATTTCCCAGAGCTTATTTTGGAGGAGAAACTCATGCTACATTCCTGTCTTGTCTTGTTAGCCCACTAAAATATACCACTGATGAAACTGTATTAACATACGATTGTTTTAAATACTGGTATCTTCAATAAAAAAGTAAGAATTATAAAAAGATAGGTTATAAAACGATAACTTATTACAAATCATTTTGAAAAGCAGTAGCCTATTAAGAATATCTTTTGATTGACTACTTTGAAGTTACCTTTTAATGTGTTTCCTAATGATATTAGAAAGTTAATATATTAATTTGTTGGCATGGACTATGCACCTATACTAGTATAGGAACAATTATTCTGACAGATATAATTGTTAAAAGCTCACTTATTATCAGGGAATCTAATGTATGGAAATTGGCTATATTTCTTGATAAAATTTCCTGGATATTACTCTATTGCCCATTAATATTTGACTCTGATTTGATAAGCCCCAAGAAAAGTAGATAGATTTTATATCTGAACTTTTTGATGTAATGATTATAAATCTGCTTAGCATTGAAAGTGACTTTTAAACAAATCAGATTGCAATTACTAACTTGGTAATCAATTGATCATTGTTCATAAAGATTAGGGTAAGGGATTCTTCCAATAATAATAAACTGAAATAGTAAACCTCTTGGGATTTATTTATTTTATCAATACTAGTCACTTCAAATGGATATTTTATAGTAAAAATAAAAATAAAATTAAAGAAAGGGAAAGAAAAGAAGAGAAAATAAATATATTTTTGGAATTTGAAGGGGATTTATGGTTGAAGTAGAAATCACAAAGGAACCAGAGATGAAATTAACCAGTAGAACAGAAATAACAGTAAGATTTTGGTAATTACTGAAAATTACAATTATTGCCCTATAAAAAATATTCACAAACAAGCAAAACGACTGCTACTGAAACAACTTATTTGTTGTTTTACAAGACACTGATAGCATAATGTATTTGGTTACTAGCTACTTGGAGTAGTTTTCTTTGTTTTATAACAAAAATATGATGACTAAATTAAGGCAGGATGAAAGCTTGCTAGTTGAGGTTTTGTGGCAAAGATGTTGATGCTAATAGTGAAAACTTCAAAATCATCCTGATAATTTGTGTCATATTTATTTGTGGAAGGAGATTGTTCTATAGGCTTAGAGTTTTAGGATGAAATTACAAGGTCAATGTGTTGTCTGTAATGAACAATTATTTATTTTTCGCCAGAAAGAAAAAAATAGAATCTTTCTGAGAAATATTTGTTTAGAAATGTAGAAATTAAAATTAGAATCTTATGGGGGCAAAGTAAGATAATTAATTATTATATTCAGGCTTGATTAAATTTCTAGCCCTATTTAAGTGTAAGAAAATCAGTCCTATTATTAACAATGATTACAACTTGTTCCATTTTGGGGTTAAATTGACTATGTGTAATAATTGTTTCCAGATTTAAATTAAGAAAGTAGCATTAGCCGGGCTCGGTGGCTCAGCCTGTAATCCTGCGCCTTGGGAGGCCGAGGCGAGTGGATTACCTGAGCCCGCGGGTTCAAGACCTGCCTGGGCAACTTGGTGAGACCTCATCTCTACCATAAATCAAAAAATCAGCTGGGCATGGTGGCGCTCGCCTGTAGTTCTAGCTACTTGGAAGGCTGAGGTGGAAGGATCGCCGGAGCCCAGCGGGTCGAGGTTGCGGGGGCCGGGGGCGGCCACTGCACTCCAGTCTGGGCGACAGAGTGAGACTCCAACTCAAAAAAAAAAAAAAAAAAAAAGAAAGAAAGTAACATCATCACCACAATTAAAAAGCAAACAAAATTCATTGACTCTCCTTGTTTGCCTGACTAGTTCCAAGTACTAATAAATATATTTTAAAAATAAAAATATTAAAA